CCCCAAAACCCCAAAACCCCATGAGAAAGTAAATTCTAAGAAAATAAGCGAATAAATAAAAAATAAGTGTATAATAATTATTCTTATTATGATTCATCGGATTTATAAAATTAAGATTAAATGATCTTATCATGTTATTGATAGATTGATTTACATAGTTTTCAATCCTCAATTGCCTTTAGTAAAGAAAGTAAAAGGTATTATTCTCAGAATTTTTTATTTATATTAACTTCTTCTTTAAATTGCTATCTGACCTTCAATAATTAAGGATCTTTTCTTTTCAAGCCATTAAATGTTGATTAAAGAGGTTATTTTTGTATTTCAGGTACCTCTCTTATAGTAAAACTTTATATCAGCGTTTATTAGGTATTCTTTGGATTTACTTATATTGTCGATTAAGGTTTTCTTTTTCTTTATACTCTAGATGGCTCGTAATTTGATGGGAACTCTTCTCCAGCATCTCTGCCACTTACTGACAAGGGAATCAAGGTTCTATTTGAATCAGCTTATTAAGGATAATTCCTTCTAGAATATAATTTGTTAAATATTAGCGATCGATTGCTACTCTTCCTTTCTATATCATCATAAACTGATACCATGTTTGAATCAACCTCTAATCTCTAAATTGTATTGCTATCAGATATTTTGTTTTGATTAAAACGATCAACTGATTATTTTTTGTCTTAATAAGCATTCCTTTTTCTGTGAGACTTTCTCCTCATCATCTATTATAACAGACTTGCCTATTTCTTGTATTCATCTTTGAAAATAAATTCATTATAATTCTTTTTATTTTAAATTTCTGATGGTAGAAATGTTATAAACCTCATCCATTTAGCTAGCTTATTCATTAACTTAAATGATGAAAAATTGCAGATACAATAAAAGCATAGCATTCCAAAGTGTCCAGTAGACAACAAAATTAATCCAAACATGAAATTTTTTACAATATCATTTATCTCTGGTTATACAAAAAATAAAGCAGAAAAATAAATTATAAGAATAGCATTAAATTCCCTTTTCTCGAGTTCATTAATTAGTGAGTTTTTATAGGGATTAATTCTTTGTTAAGCTCTAAGTATGTAAGTTACTACTATTAAAATAATCATTGCCTTAAATAGATTCAATTGAGTTTATAGGATAACATTAGCAATAACAATATAAACTTTCCTTAAAATATTAACGAATTCCCAGTAAAAGGTGTCACTTTTTAATCCCCTATAAATAACCCTATATTTTGAAGAAAATTCCTCATCATCCAAATTTCTTTTATTCTTTAGGAGATGAAAATATGCAAATGATGGTAAGCCTATAACCCAAACTATAATCAATGGAAGACCTATTGAAAAACAGAATTTTATATGTTCATTTGTCCAGCATCTTACTTCTAAATCAGAAGATAACCAATACTCTCCATTTTCTAGTTCAATGCAAAAGAAAATCCCAACAGCATATTTAGTTATAGTTGGATGTAAAAAATAAATCACCATAATTCCTAAAAATACAATTAACAGATTTAATTATTTTACCTGATATGATCAACCATCTTTTTAATTACTACTTTTTTGTTTATCTAATCTTTTTATAAATAAACATGAGGGCGAAGTAGAATAAAAAAGCTAGAATCGGCATAAATCCTACTACTAATGTTTTGAAGTAAATCAAACTATTTGCAGAATTCACTGGAATACTCTCTTTCAGGAAACAATCTATGGACAATAGGTTTTCAGTAGATTATCCTACTTATGAAAAAATTTCATAAAAACTTATCATTGCTGGTGGCCATTCAAGTCTCAGTGAGCTAGTCGTGGTAAGTACTTAAAGGAAGTTTGTCATTATTTTAAGTACAACTGAAGTTTCTTTATGATGATTATTTACTTTAATATTCATCACTATGAGCAAGAGAAGATAGAGTAGGATACCAAGACTTATCAAGACAATAATTATTGTATTTCTTATTGGATCTGGGCATGGTTCACAATCATTTGAGAAAGACCTCGAATAGATTGTTCCATTCTAAGGATAGCATTTATCGCAAAGATTTCCCCCATAACCGAAAGAGCACAAGGCGTTGTAATTTGTATCATTAAGTTTATATAAACCACCTTTGCATGCTTTTTCATTCAAACAATTTAATACCTTAGTTGAGTTGAAATTAGATCTCCAGTGTCCAGGATTTACACTTATTTGATATCCTCCAAGGCAATCTGAGTGGTCAGGACATTCAAAGCATTCCTCTTGATTATATTAAAGAGAAAAATAACCAGGCTCACACTATAGGCATCTATTTTATTATTATTGAGAATTAAGAATGGAGCTAAGTTATAAAAGCTTACTAGTTGTTTATGAGTTATTCTCCAATTAGGCATTATCTGATATCAATAAAAACAAAAGCTTCATTGATTTTTTGTGTAGAATTTAGGTTAAAGATTCTTTTCATATATTCAACATTTACTTTTGGCGAATAGATCATGAATGGAACATGATAAGAACCAGGGGTAGCTATAAATGTTAAATTTGTGAAATTTGATTGTCCATTCTAAACTTTCAATTCTCTTAATCCAACTACAGAGGTTGAGTCTCCCTCAATTTCAGTTATTTAGATAACACTTTAAAGTTAATTTAGTATTATAAAATTCTTACTTTTCATTATCATTTTTTAAAACTTGTCCATCAGGATCTATTATCTCTGCTAAAATATATCCACTATTTATTTAGCCACTAGCTACGCTGGAAAAATACTATTCTTTTATTTAGACTGAAAATGGATAACTAGCAAATTATGGTCCATAAGGAGCTATATTATCTATGTAGATATTAGTCTCAAGCGAAAGAGGTCTAAACTTATTGTAATAAAGTACACCACCTTGCAAGGTAGCAACATTTTAAACAAATGTAGAATTAGCGATAGTGTAATTACAAATTGAAGCTAAATGTAATTAAAATTAGTAACTTTACATTAAGAGCAGAATAGAGCAAAAACAGCACCACTTTAGGCGGTGTTGAATGAGAATATAGATTGACGGGTCTCCAGTCTTCCTTATAGCATTTAAATGACTCCACCAAAAATTTCTGATTTGAGATTTGAAAATTAGCTTTAATATATTGAAACTATGCAGTTATCACCTTTAATAGCTATGAAGTCAGAATAAATTTTATCAATTCTAAAAGTTTTTAATCCAGTTACATTAGTAAAAACGATACTTATTGTTGAAGCTGTTCCCTCAATTAATTTTGTGTCTATTTGGTCAAAAGATGATTTCGAGATTTGAAAAAAATCACTTCTTAATATTTGAATGATTCTTTAGGAATTCAACTCATTATCATAGTAGCTCAAACTATCAATTTATGCGTAACTAGCATCTAAAAACATTATTCCGAGATAGGAATCAATTTTGCATTGTTTAATTGTTGAATTGCTAATGTAAAGTTTTGAATAACTCTGTATTATTAGATTCATATTTACCCGCTCAAATGTTTAGTTATCTAAATGAACTTCTGATTTTAATGTGCATTCTATAAGAAATCTTTCTCTTTAAAAACTTAAAAGAGAGTTGTCGAAATTAATGAATTTTGAATGGTTCATTGTTAGCATGCTAGATGTTAATTAAATAAAGTTAGAGTCATTTGGAGTGAGAGTGACATTTGTTATAATAGAACTAATAATCTCAATCTTGCTCTGATAAACTCCAAAGAGATTATGCTAGTTAATTATTTAAGTGTTTTCTTTTATTTACAGATAACTTTTTTTAAGGTCTATATTATGATTTACTTTAGTTGAACTCAATTAGTAAATATTTGGATATCTCTCCTCTATTGACGTAATGAATGCTTAATCTAAGTTTAATTTTTCTTTTGCTTCCTGAAAGCTGACCAAATCGTTAGATTGGATCATTGAATTGATAAATGAAGAAGGCTGATCTATAGAATCTTATGAAAGTATAATTGATGATTCTAATCCTATATTTTCTTGTACTATTGATTGATTTATTGTAAACTAACCTTAATTAAGGACACTACCAATACCTCCTCTAAAAGCAAAGTTCTAATAAAAAGTACAGTTGTAAAATTAAAGGCTACTTCCAAACCAAGTATAGAAAACTCCACCTTCATAGGCATAATTTCTAATAAAAGTTGTGTTTCGAATATAAGAGACCGTATTCTAAAAATCTCCAAGGATAATACTGCCTCTAGAATTTGAGAAATTTTCCACAAAGTTAGAGTTTGTAATACTGAGTTCACTGTTTGATTAAACTTTGATTAAAGCATCTGTTATTACTCAATTTTTTTTGAATTCTGAATTTTCTATATTAATTTTGAGAGGGATTTATTTTAAATCTTTGTTTGATGCTTTCATTTAAATTTGACCCTTAGTGTTATTAATAAAAGAGCAATTGCTTATGAGAATGGGCTTGATGTCGTTAAATGTAGCGAAAATAATATTTCCTTTGGATTTAAAAGTATTATTAATGAAATTTGAGTCTCTTATCTATATTTATACATTCTTTAGATTTAAGTAGCTATCAAAGAAGATGAAATTATTCTATTCTTCTATCAAATTGTTAGTAATTTGTAGATTTGTCCACTCGAATAATCTTTAATGAGTATCATCAGGTGTGATAAATGAATATCCTTTAAACATGAAAAAATTAACTTCATTATTAGTAACTGTTATATTTTTTAGAAAAGAGTTTTGAGTATCTTAATAGATTTCTAGAACATCCAATCTTATTATGTAGCTTTAAAGTTTAACTTGGTCGCTATACTTGAAATTTGAGAATTGTATGTTTTCAAAATGTATTCCTTATGTTTTGAATATACCCAAATAAAGACTATTAGAATCCAAATCTATATTATATTAAAATCTAATCCTTACATTCATTTTGAAAGATACAGTCTTAAAAGCTTACCATAGAATATGATCTATCCATTTAAAAGGCAGCATTTTAGAACAGGGAATTATTCATGAAATGCAAATTTTTGAATTATGAAATAGCATTAAGTGGAGCGGTAGAATGCTTAATCGCTGTTTAAGAGTTTTATAAATGATCCACTAAAAAAATTACATTAAAAGTTGTCTTGTTACTTTGATTATTGTAAAGGTATAATCCATTCACATATAATGCAGCTGGTCTAAAGAACAGAAAAAGAATCCTTCCTCGACACTAGGAATTTACGTATGTAAAATCTAAATATAAAGTATAAGGTCTTTAGAAATTCTTACTCTTGATATTCAAAATTCCATTAATAGTTGCATTAACTCCGAAAGTTTACTGAGTATTCAAAAGAACATTATTGAAATAAAAATTACTCAGGGTTAGTTCAGGCAGAAAAGAACCTATCCTGAAGAAATCAGAGTGAGTAATTACATTCTCTGCAGTTATATTCTCAATAATTTAAATAAATGGTCTTTAGGAATCTCCATTCTAGTTTATGGCAATAGAAAAAAGTGATATGACATTATTTGTGTTTGAAACATTTGTAGTTATGTAGTTGTTACTAAATTGTAAAATTCTTAATTTTCTATCGTCCTTATCTTTTACGATGCATTTTTCAGCAGTGTCAATCATTAATATATTTATATTCGGATCTCCTAATTTAGTATAAGTACTGAATGTACTTCTATCAATAGTGACGTTATTTATGGTGTTTATTAAGATCATTGGTTCTGAAATAGTTTGATATTTATCCCCTTTGAGCGTAAAATTTTTAAAGATTATATCTCCGCTATCTGCATAATCATGTGTCAATGAACAATCTGTGACAATTTTAACTCCTTATTTCATATAATCAGTGATAATTATACTATCCATTAACTAAAAATTTAGTGGACTATTTGATTGAAATATAGACCCATAAATTTAAAATACTACTTCCTAATCAAGATTACTAAGTATTGAATAGGTAATTTACTGAAAATTTTATGGTGTTATACTAAGTATCCCAGGCTAAAATCAATAGTTAATTCTCATTCAAATCCTGAATTTCATCTATCAATAATATTTGATCAGTTCTATAATTCAATATAGACACTTACTATTTATAATAAGATTTTGAATGGTTATGTTAGATCTTATCAGATAAAATACTGATCTTTAAAAGTCGATAATAGTCTCATATTCAGTTTGATTTATCTTTGAGTACATCTCTCCATAGTAGTTTATATATTGCTCAGTTACTTCTAAAAATTCATAGTTTTATTCGCTCATAAGTGAATAAAGAGTAGAATTATTTTGATGATAGGATTTTAGACAATGAACATCAAGGAAAGCATATATACCATTTTATGAATCATCATCTGTGCTGTATGATCTATATTTCAAAGAATTAAGAAGACTTTAAATCGTATTTAATAATAAAAAATGCATAATTCACTTTATTTTACCTGATTATTAAGTTTATAGAGTCTATAACCTGAACCACTCCCTATGTATACAATGTTGCTGTTGTATTTTCCTTTATAAGAATTTCGTAATGCTAAAATGCCTTGTTTTAAATTTTATGGATTTATAGTAATGCAGGATAAAGATCTTTATAGGGATAGCTTTTAGTGCCAAGTTCTAGATATTCAGAGGACAATGAATTTATATACAATTTGTTATCTAAAGAGTTCAATTAATAGGAGCAAAATCTTACTTCTACAAAATTTGAAAGGAATTCCTTAAAAGTCAACTTAGTTTTAGAATTCTCCCTCTCTACAAGATTGAACACATTATAAACTATTCAACTCTAGCAATGGAGCTGACAATGGACAAATTAAGCATTAGCCATTACTTATACAAAAATTAAGAGGGCAATTATCATCACAACCTTTACTTTTAATCAAGGCAAATTACTTTAACATTCGGAATCAGATTTATATTGACCAAGGTGACAATATGAGCATGAATTTGTAACTGAATTGAAGATCATTTACTCATTTGAGCAAGATGTACAAATCTGGTTATCCAGGCAGGTTAAGCATGGAGGATTGCAGGCTAAATGTTATTGAGATTATATTGAGATATGAACTTACGTAAACACATCGAACTAGACTTATCTAAGAATTACCCTTCATCGCATCGAAGCTGCTAACCAATTGTCGGCTGTATAAATGCATAGAGCAGAGACATTGCACTAATTAAAAAAGCGGATCTCATTAATTTAATATTTAATATATGCTTGACTTGTATAATCATTACTAAGCCCTGCTCCTTTTATTTTATTACATAAATATTTAAATAAATGACCCATTTTTCATAATTAACTTAATTAGTTGTTCTGGGGTTTTGGGGTTTTGGGGGCATAAAAAGGGTAAAAATGAGCTAGACA